AGCTGGGCTTCTGGGGCCTGGTGCCCTCCTTGGGCCTGGCCGACGTGATGGAGGAGCTGGGCTTCTGGGGCCTGGTGCCCTCCTTGGGCCTGGCCAACATGGTGGAGGAGCTGGGTTCTGGGGAGATGTCCGGGGGCTGCCACAAAGGGGGTGTGCGCCGAGGTCACAGGCCGGTGTGAGTGAGTGGTCTGCCCCCTGCCCCCCAGCGCTCAGGGGTTGGGTAACCATCTCGGGTGCGCTTGAAGAGAGGGTCCCGCTGCCACCAGAAAGGCTAGAGAGAACAGAGAAATGCCCTGCCAAGCCTGGCTGGTGTCACCCTGTCCTAGACCCCCGGGGGCTAGTGACGAGAGAAGTGCCACAGTCCCCCTGTCTCAGGACCTGGCGCAAGGCCAGCTTCCCCTCCCAGCGCGGATCACAGAGAAAACAGTCCCCTCCTCTCAGGACCTGGTATGAGGCCTGATTCCCCTCCCAGCAGGGATCACAGAGCAGGAGCAGCTCCAGGACCTGGAGGCTGTGCCCAGGCACCCAGACCCCATCCAGCCTGCCAGTGCTCCATCCATTTGAGCTGCAGGGCAAGCCACCCTCCCTGCCTCATGACAGGGAAACTGAGGCTCAGACAGAGGGGTGTGTGCAGGGCTCCACAGTTCACAGGAGAAAGCTGGGGTCCACCTGAGGGCGGTGTCTTAACTGTGCGTTTTACTGAGGCTGAGCCTGGGCCTCCCCTGTAGTGCCTCCTCCCACACTGGGCTCTGGTGGCCAGGGCAGGCCTCTTCTGCCTTTGTATGTACAGTGGTGGCCCTCCCACACCCCACCCCATCTCTGGGCTTAGTGTGCCTTTGTCCAGGAGAGCCAGCCCTGGCCGCAGGCAAGCAGGGCGATGTGGTGGAGGGAGGGGCTGGGGGTGTGAATTGGGTTCCTGCATGGAGTTTTATCAGACATGAAACTGCTTGAGACACCTGTCTTAGGGATGCACTCGCGCCTGGCCTGTGGCTAAGACATGCGGAAGGGTGTTAAGAAGAGTGAGATATTGGTGACCATCTCAGGGGCCCTGACGGAATGATAAAACCACAGCGGGACCGGTGTGGTGGTTCACAGGACACAGCCCCAGTGTGTGCGGACACATGAAAGAGCAGCGTTGACGCCTACTGCGTCTGAATGCTGAGGAAGAGAGACCCGCGGTGCATGTGGCCACCATTGTGCCTCGCTCCCCGGGAGTGATATGTGGGTCTCTGCTGGGGCGGAGAACGGGCCGCTGGGAGCAGGCGTGAGGGTTGGGGAAGGAGCATTTTGCACTGTGTGTACTTAAGTACTGTGTTCATTCTAAAAGTAAGCACTCAAGCTGGGCGCAGTGATTCACGCCTGTAATCCCAGCACTTTGGGAGGCTGAGGCAGGTGGATCACTTGAGGTCAGGAGTTCGGACCAGCCTGGCCAACATGTCGAAACCCTGTCTGTACTAAAAATAAAAAATTAGCCTGGCATGATGGTGCACACCTGTAATCCCAGCTACTCTGGAGGCTGAGGCAGGAGGAGCGCTTGAACTCGGGGGGCAGAGGTTGCAGTGAGCTGAGATCATGCTGCTGCACTCCAGTCTGGGCGACAGAGCAAGACTCTTATCTAAAAAAAAAAAAAAGTAAACCAGCTTAGCACCCCATCGAAAGGAAAAGCACAGCCACACTGGGGGATGTAGCAAAGGGATTGGGCAGGTGTGGGCTCTGGAAGAATCGTAGCCGGGCCTGACGTGGGCAGAGCTGCATGGTGAGCCGAGAGGCTGTGGAAGGCCCTGGAAGGTGAGGGCCACGTGGTCATGTAGGCTGTTTGCTGTCCCCCACAAGAGAGGGTCCCCAAAAGACAGATGTCTGCAGCCCTGCCAGCTTTCAGAGTGGGAGGGACGGGCACGGAGGGCCCTCGCCCTGCTGCAGTCTCACTGCCTGCTCTCGGCTCCCCACAGATACAGCCCCAAAAGCCCCTCACTACAGTCCGAGACCGTCCACTACAAGAGAGGGGTGAGCCAGCAGTTCTCCCTGCCCTCCTTCAAGATCGACTTCTTGGAATGGAAGGATGACGAGGTAATCCTGGCTGGGCTCCTCCTTGCCCTTTGCTCCTTCTCTGGAATTCTCTCCTCTTGGGGGTGGGGCCAGCGCAGTGGGACCTGTGTGTTTGGGTTCCTCCGGGCTTCATAAGGCCTGGGAACGGCTACCCCAGTCTATGTGCTCAGGCAGACGTGCGGACGGACTGGAGCAAGGCCTGGGCCACATGTTGGCGGAGTCAGGAGACCAGACGCCAACCAGGCAGCCACACTCGGAGGTTCAGACACTGGGGTTTCGGGAGACGTGAAGAATGGGGCCCCCTTTGCCGGCTGCAGCGATGCAGGGTCTGTTCACACCAGGTGGTGGTCTTTTTTTTTTTTTTTTTT